CCTGGAAGCCTTCCCTTGCTCTCTCTGCCTCATCTTCCTACCAGTGAGTCACTGGGAGACCTGCTGGAGACCTGCCAGAGCCCTGGAGTTGCACCCACCACCATTGGATCCACAATACCTTGCACCCACCAGCCTGTGGCTTGTACCCACCATTCTGTATGCATGGCATGTGGCTGCCTGATTTATGGACTAGTATCAGGCTTATAGAGTAATATCGGACTTAGGGACTTGATACGGACTGGACTGGGATGTTTTCTGAATATGTGATTACTTCTTGACATAAAGCTCTCTCTTACACATCTATGAGTGTCCCTGGATTTGTTTCTCTAGTAAACCCCATCTAATACAGTAAACAAGGGGCTCTAGACAAGACAAACAAAGTCATTTTAATAAAAATAGTTTCAACCCTCCCCCCCCCTCCAAAAATAAGCATGAACTATTACATGGCACAGCATTAAACTATACTCGTATAAAATACCAACTGTTGAGTACATGGGGACAAATAGGCAAACCAAATGAAGACCTTGAATAGCATTTTTATTCATTGATAAGTATTTTTAAATTAAAACTGATGTAAATAGTAATTTTTAATTCATATAATTGATGTAACTTGAAACTTAAGTTGTTGTTGTGTACTACTGAGTCAATTCTGACTCACAGGGACCAAGCTCTATGTACAACAGAACAAAACACCACCAGGTACTGAGCAGCCTGATCATCATTGCATGCCCATTGTTGCAGCTGTTACACGTCGATCGATACTCAATGTGACCAGCCCTTCTCCCTCGGAGGTACTGGAAAATCCCTTGTGAGCAGTTTGTCATTGCAATGAAGGGAGCCTTGTACATGAAACAACAAGGCAAGGCAATACAATACGACAGGACAGGAAGTGTGGCAAAGATGTAATAAGCACTGTTCACTTCAATCACTAAGCAGGTCCCTTGCACTTTGAGAAAGAACCCAGTCTAGGGGTATTACATCAGGTTTTCTAGGGAGTGGGTGGCAGGATCCTATTGGCTTACCTCAGTTTTTATCCTGCTTTCCCACTAGCCCTTATTCTTGCATCCAAATGGGTCCTTCTTCGAGGGCAATGAGTCGTATCATAATCCATGAAATGTGTATCTCCTTATCATGTGAGGCAGTGTTAGGATGCGCCATCTGGACCTCCCGTGGACAAAGGATCATGTGAGGCACTGTGGGATGGATCACCCAGCCTCTACCTAACCCTCCAGCAACCACGTGTCAACCCACCTCCTTGATGGTCTTCCTCTCTTTTGATGGCCTTCTTTAACCAAGCACATCTCCTGATTTCTTCTGACAAGATGCCCAAAGGATGTAAGGTAAAGTCTCCACATCCTTGCTTCTGGCTGTGGACAGATTTTTTTGTTCTGCTGATAATCCCAGGTAGTTTCAATATTCTTCGCCCATGCCACAATCCAAATACATCGAATCTTCTTAAGCCTTCCTTATTCCTTGCCCAAATTTCATATGAAGTGATTGGAAATTCCATGGCATGAGTCAAGCATAACTTAAGCTTCGAAGTGACATCTTTGGACTTCAACGCTGTAAAAAGTTCTTGTGTAGCAGATTTACCCAATGCAATGTGCTTCAAGCTTCTACTCTTAAATAAATTCAAAGCTTATATTCTTTCCGAAGACATTTACTTTTCAACTATCTGTGGATATTTTTAGAATTTAATTATGTAAAAGGAAATAAAACTTAGATATATTTTATTTTAAAATATGTAATTAAATGAAGAAAATACTTAGGATTTAAACAAAGAAAACAGTTTGCAAAATCGAAAATATGTACAAATCTAACCCTTGGGTTGAAGAAGAAATCAAAATGGAGATTACCAATTGTTTAGAAAATAATAATGATTTGAATATTACCTAGTAAAATTTGCAAGATGGAATCAAAACCGTCGAGAAGAACAAGAAGTTTCATATCCTTACTTTAGTAAAGAAATATGACAAATAAAAGAACTGAGTTTGATTACATTTAAAAAGATACAAAACAAACCAGAAAAAAATATTTTGAAAGGAAATGAAAAGACAGCAATAAAAGCAAAAGAGATGAAAGTAAATACTAAAATATAACACTGTGACAAGTCCAGAACAAATCAATTTTAAGCTTAGTAAATGAGAAACAGGATGTAAGTATAGATGAAAATGATATTCTTAACATTATAACACATTATTAGATTTTGCAAATTTTTTAAACTTCAGTGATTTTAGAAAATAAAAACTAAGAAGATTGACTCAATATGAAGAACGATGTCAATGGGGAAAAAAAACAAAACAAAAACATTTAATTTCAATAAAGCTTCTAAGCCAAAACTATTTCACTCCAACTGTTTGCAAATTTTAAAGGAATAGGGAATTAGCACATCATATATACAGTTTAAATGCAAAAACAGATAGAAAACTTTCAAATTCTTTTCACAGATAGCATAGTCATAACAATTCAATAAAGATGGCATGTGGAAAAATGATAAACAATGCTCTTTGGAAGGATAGATATGACAAGTGAAATCCTAGAAAATCAAATCTCTAAAACAAACAGTAATAGATCGTGGTATGAATTATGAAGGGTCGATGGCTTTTCACCTTACTTACAAGTTAACAAATTAGCCTGCCACCGCTGGTATGTGGCAGAAGACACGAGACTTTCAGGTCAGAGAGTGAATTTTATTACTCAAACACAAGGAGCAGCATGAGCATCAGCATGTGTATCGGTTCCCTCTGCCCCTCATGTCTCAGGGGAGTGATGTGATACGGGCCCAGGTAGATGTTTGTACACTGAGTGGGTTGCATTATGGGAGAGAAACCTTGAGCTCAGGAAACTAGAATCTTTAATAATGGACATAAGCATCTGCCCATTGCTCCAGAGGGAGACATTGTCTTTATTATACTGGACAGTAAACACATCTGCTATTTACTCCAGAGGGAGACTCTTTAACTTCCAAGACTGTAAGCAAACCTGCCCTTTGTTCCAGAGGGAGACACCATCTCTAACCTTGCAAAGATACTCGGAAACAAAGAGCAGGTAGTGCCTCTGTTCACAAGACATGCTGAAGTGTGAGAGCCCGTGGATCGTTGACTCCTAATACATCTTTAGGTGGGTATTATTCTAAAAGCGCGAGGAAGATTTAAAGTCTGAAAATAATAAAAGTAAAATAAACAAGAGAAACAACATAATAGAATTCAACATCTCGTCTTGGCTGTTACAATGAAAACTTTTTTAACTAGAAACATTATTTCTTTTAATGTCTATCTAATTTAAATATCAATCTTAAACCAACAAGCAACATCATGTTCTTCAGGAAAACCTTGCAGGCATTCCCATTAAAATCAGAAACAAAATAAGGATGTCCACTGTAACTGCTATTATTTAACATTATTCTGAATGTTCCAGTCAATGAAATAAAAATGAAACACACATAAGAACTCTAAGAGACAAAACTCATCATTGTTTTTAAATGGCATAGTTATCCATAGACAATTCAAAAGGATCAAAGGAAAACTTTTAAATTAATGAGATCAATAAATACACAAAATAACTTTTCATGTACTAGTGAAGGCCAATCATTTTAAATAATATTAAACCATAATAGTGATTTGTATGAGAGTCTATTCCTACTAGGCTTTAAAAATATAGAATAATAAAAAGTAAAATGCTGAACAAGAAAGGGTACATCTACATGAAGGTACATTTAGCACCCTACTGAAAACTCAGCTGTTACTCAAAAGAAAATATAAAAGAGTCAATTGCCTATGGCCTTCCTGAAAGCAAGACAGGACCCCGGAAGATCGACTGGATTTGCTGTTGGGAGTCACGGAGTTTTAACGCCAGTGACTCCCATGACTCTGCTGGACAGAGGAGAACTTCCCCTTAACGTTTCCTAGGCTGCAATCTTTTTTCTTTTTTAATTATTTATTTATTTTATTAGTGGGGATTTAATGCATACATCGTCTCATTCCATATTTTAATCACATTAAGAAGGGTGTATATTGATTGCAATCTTTATGAGACCAAAACGCCAGGTCTTTTCTACCAGAAG